GACATCCATCAGCCATATTTCATAATCATGAAATGCAGCTATGGCTAGCATAACCCTTATAGACTTGATCTTCACTAGTGGTGAGAAGGTCTCGTCATAGTCAACTCCATGAATTTGAGTAAAGCCCTTCGCAACCAACCACGCCTTATATGTGTGTACTTTCCCATCCATGCCGGTCTTCTTCTTGAAGATCCACTTGCACCCGACCGTCTTACGACCTGGTACATTGTCAACCAAGTTCCAAACTTGATTGTCATACATAGACTGAATCTCGCTGTCCATCGCCTCTTTCCACTTCGCAGACTCTTGGCCCGCCATGGCTTCCTTGTAGTTGTTAGGTTCATCCAAATTTACTAGTATGATATCACTGATAAACATATCACCTTCACTTATTATATGAAAACCATATAACACAGGTGGAACACTAACTCTACTGGAACGTCTCAGAGGTAAGGACTGGTCAACTGGTTCAACAGGAGTCTCATCCTCTGGTTGAGTGCTAGTGTTAGAGGTTCCTTCATCGCTTGATTCTTGAAGCTCTTCAAGGTCAATTTGCCTCCTACTATCCTCTTGGCATATGAGTTCTCTTTCACGAAAGACACCCCTTCGTGCTACGAAGACCACATTCTCACTAGGTGTATTAAACAAATATCTAAAGGATTTCTGTGGGTAGCCGATGAAAATACAGCGCTCACTACGAGGTTCGAGCTTGTCGTGAGTCTCTCATCTTACGAAAGCCTCACAACCCCAAACCTTGATATACGCTAACGAGGGAACCTTCCATGTCCACATTTCGTGAGGTGTTCTGGCAACCTTCTTAGTTGGTACTATATTAAGGATATGGGCAGCAATCTCTAAGGCATACCCCCATAATGAGATAGGTAACGAAGCTCGACTCATCATGGAACGAACCATATCCAACAAGGTTCGATTGCACCTCTTGGCCACACCATTTAGCTGCGGTGTCCTAGGTGGATTCAATTGTGAAACAATTCCACATTCCTTAAGATAGTCATGGAATTCAATACTAAGATACTCACCACCTCGATCAGATCGGAGCATCTTTATCTTCCTGCCTAATTGATTCTTCACTTCTTGCTTAAACTCTTTGAACTTTTCAAAGGTTTCTGACTTGTTATTGATTAAGTAGATATATCCATATCTGCTATAATCGTCGGTAAAGGTTACATAGAAGCGGTTAGCATCCCTTGTGGCGGATCTGATAGGCCCACACACATCGGTGTGTATGAGATCCAACAAACCCTCACCTCTTTCACAAGTACCAGTGAAAGGTGACTTGGTCATCTTTCCAAGCAAACAAGATTCGCACTTGTCATCCGACTTTAAGTCAAATGACTCCAACACTCCATCCTTTTGGAGTTGGGCTATGCGCTTCTTGCTGACATGTCCAAGACGACAATGTTACAAGCATGCTTTGTCCAAACCATTGGACGAATCAATATGCAATACATTATTTCCTAAGTTGTCTACAACCATCACAGTTTCATATACACCATTACAAGGCAATGCTTCAAAATAAAATTTATCATTATAAAAAGCATTAATAGAACCAATATCATTGTTAAATGAAAATCTAAAACCTTGTTTATATAAACCATGAAAAGAAATAATGTTTCTCGCCATATCTGACGAGTAGCAACAATTGTTCAAATCTAGCCCTAACTCATTACTAAGCAATAAAGAATAAACTCCAATCTGGGTGACAGGCGACGCTTTCCTATTCCCTGTGATCAAGTTCATCTTTCCATGCTCCACATCCCTACTTCTTTTTAGACCCTTCAAATCAGAACAAATGTGAAAACCACATCATGTATCAAGGACCCAAGAACTAGCATGTGATGGGTTGTTAGATTGAATAGTGTGAATACCTGGGAAGGTGGGCTTTATCTTCCCATCCTTAATGTCCTGCAAGTATTTAAGGCAGCTTCATTTCCAATGCCCTTTTTCATGACAATGGAAGCACTCTGCTTCCTTTGGATTGGATGGGGGAGTAGCAGAACCACCTTTGGACCCACTAGAAGAGGATCCATCACGAGAATTTCCCTTGTGATTCTTTGAAGGAGCGTTCCTTTTCTTCCCTCTACCATGTCTAATTGCCAGGACTGGGGCAACAGAAGTAGTAGTGGGTACAACAGACTTGCCTTTCAAACTACTTTCAGCAGTTCTCAGAAGGCCTTGAAGCTTGTTTAGAGTGACTCCCTCCTTATTCATATGATAAGTCATTCGGAACTGATCATAACAAGAAGGTAAAGAGTGTAGGATAATGTCGATAGCCAACTCTTCGTCAAAATTGACATTCAACTTTAGCAAGCGGTCCACATATCTTTGCATCTTTTGCAGGTGGGCCGTGATGGACTCTCCATCCTTCATTTTTGTTGTTATCATGGAAGCAATTATTTCATACGTTTCTTGTTGAGCACTCTGATGGTACCTTTACATCAACTCTTGGTGCATATCGAAAGGCCAGAAGTCCTCATAGGACTTTTGAAGCTCAGAAGTCATAGTAGCTAGCATGATGCACATCACCTTTGTCGCGTCCTTCTCATGAGCCCTATACTCAGCCAATGGGTCAGGAGTAGCAGTTTCTTCATCAATCTCCTTTAGCTCTTTGTTGAGGACATATTCCTTTTCCTCATATCGAATGGCCATGCGAATGTTTCGAAACCAATCATTGAAATTCTACCCATCGAAAATGACCCTCCCACATAACTTCATGAGGGAGAAAGAGCCGGAAGAGTTTGAGTTTGAAGCGTTGTTTGAGGTAGACATCTGAAAAGAAAGACAAGTTTCATTAGATAGAAATTCCTTAATATAACACCCAAATGAAATATTAAGGTTATGACCCAAACACAATAATTCACAACTTAGAAAAGGGATGCCGTAATCTAATTGTAAATTATTTGAAGGGAGGTAAATGACGATTTACCAATTTTCACCACCCAAAACCAAAATTTAAAAGATTTAAGTTTTATGAAATTCCTAGTTCTTTGAGACTCATTGAACTTTTCAATGACATGTTTAATCTTGATTATGCCCTTCATGTTTGTGACTGGGATACTGAGGATCACAAACAAGGTGTGAATAACCATGAAAATGGGCTTGGTACTCTCGATGTAATTTATCACCTAATCAATGTGTCGGTTAACCACACACGCTCCATTGATCTATGACAAACATCGAGCTACCCTTTGCCACCCTTTGTTAGTCCAAATTAGTGTGCCGGTAAACCACACACGCTCCACTAACAACTTGGCAAGGTGTAAAATGCAATTTCATGGAATAACACCATTTTTACATTTTTCCTAAAGTAACTAAGATTGGGAATTTATGAAAAATATTTAGTTACTTTTATAATTATCATTATACTTTTTAATGAGAATTAATGTCCTATCCTACCCGTTCGGCAAACGAACCTCCACTAGTCAAGGGAGCGATGGGTGAGAGTGGACACCCATTCAATAACCATTTTATAGGCAATTTTCTTATACCCCCCTTATAGACCAGTTTCGTGAATGAGGCCTACTAACGGTAAGACTGATTTTTCTTATACATATATATAAGTATTAAGCTTTTAATATTATAATAGTATAAGGGTTGAATTTTACACTTTTAAAACTCTAGGGTTTAGAATTTAAATATTTCACAATTAAAACCTTTTAATCAATTTTTTAAATTCCAAAACTTGAAGGAAAATTTTGAAACTTTTCAAAACTCTTGGATCAATTTGAAAACAATTAATCATATAATTAACTATATCACACAATTGACCTAATCTAATTTCATATAGCAAGATGATTCAAGTCAATTCTACAAATAATTAGTTTTTTCACAAAATCAAGTAATTATCTTAAAATTTGACAGTCATCATTCAATTGGATGAGGATAATCATTACCTTATCAGAAAAATCGAATTTTAACAATCAAAACAGTTTGTGGTAATGATCCTAATCCAAAACTGGCCAAAAAACTCGAAAATCTGCAAACAGATGATCCAACTCGTTGAGTTCATGGCATGGACTCGTCGAGTTGGACCAACTCGTCGAGTTCCTTCATGGGACTCGTCGAGTCCAGCAGTCAAAAGGCAAAAAATGAAATTTTTTCAGCTTTGAAAACAATACAATTGCATCAATATAACAGAAAACACCCTAGGCTCTGATACCAGTGAAGGGTTTTGAGCACTATAACAATCCTATGGTGCACATACAACCCTAAATGCTTTGGATCGAAGTTTTCTCAAGTTATACATGAAATTTCATTTTATCCAAAGCATATACCCTAGCTAGCATGCAATTGGAGATATACAATCTAAAAACTAGTTAGATGAATACCTTTTTGTTGTAGCTTGTAGTCATTGGCCTTTCAAGAGCTTAGTACCTCAAATGTGATACCTCTAATAAGTTACAAACACCAAAATCAAAGGAGGCTTATGAGAGAGAGGTTAGGAAGCACAAAATCAGCTAGGGTTTCACCTTGGAATTCTTATGGCCAATTTTAGGGATGTTAGGGGTTACATTTATAATGTGGAATTCCTAGGGTTTCTTACATGTAAACCCTAATTCACCATGACTCTTCACATTTCATAGGCCCTTTGGACTAAACCTTCATGGACTCTCATATATGTTTAGTCCATCCCTAATCAACATGGATCATTAGCCTAAACTATAAGTATTACTGATTTATCTAATCAGTCCCCTTAACTTTAATCAGTCTCTTTTGATCACTAAATTAATTCTAAATTAATTCTTGATCAATACCAATTAAATAATATGATTTCTCAATTAATATATTATTCATATAATATATTAATAAATCATAAATAATCTCTTTCTCAAATATCCATCCTATCAAATTGCTCCGGTGAAGGCAACCCAAAAGGACCATGCTACTATCGGGTCAAGTACATACCAATTATAGTTATGGGCTTATACACCTAATCTAACAGTACTGTAGGGATAAGTCCCTAAAACAAGAAAGTTCATTCATTTACCGACTCCTCCATCTAACCTTGTGATCTTGGCATCGTTGTTAGGACCTACTCCTCCATGATCGTCATCCGCACACAACTGGCAAAGGCCATCAATATCAAGGGAGCCCAACTTCATCATGGAGGCATAATCATAAGAGATGAACGATTTAATTTCATCAACCATCTCCCCCGAGTGGCTTGAGGTGGAACTAGCAGCATTAGGATCGAATGCCCCGACAACCACTTCCTTACTCAGCGCCACTCCGTCAGACTCCTCACCAGCAGCGAAGCACATGTTCTTGATACGTCCCACACCCTACAAAAAATCTGGAAGCTTAATAACTTTGTCAACAATCTTTACAATGAAGAAATGATAAAAATTCATTTGCTCTAATACCAACTGAAGAAATGAGAAAAAATCAGTAAACCTTAGACTTGAAGAGTCCAAGAGTTGAAAATACTGAAACAGAGTTACAGAATCGTCAAGTGGCAAGTAATGCGGAAAAATAAAGAGTTGTGAATCACCAAGTTAATGATAAACACTTTTTTTATATGTTCAAGATCAATGATTCAAAAGTGTCTCATATTCATTAGAATTCAGTTACAAGTGTTTGAATGGTAAACAAACTAAAACACTCGAGCGGCTCTCTGAAAACTAGTCTAAGTAGCAATTGTGCAGAATGATCAGAATTGTGCAACTTTATAATGGAGCCCAAGGGGCCTATTTATAGGCTTTGGAAAAGCCCATGACATGGCTTGATCAATCAGGTGCTGACACGTCATCATGACTTAGTCATCAGTTGACACCTTTTCCCTACTTAATGGAGAATTGATGGAATATTCCAATTCCGTTAGGGTTCCATCCAAGTTATGAGTCTTCATAATTCTTGACCCTTCTTGATCAACGTTGAAAATGTGATGAGCAACATGAGCATCATGTTGCTCCATTGTTTTCTAATATGTCATCAACTTACAGAAGTGTCATTGATCAAGTTGAGTTGTTTCTTGAATATTGAAATGTGTCTTGAACTTGAAGATGTACAACTAAGTGTTCATGATGGACCATGGATGAAATTCATGTGCTTTTGAGCATTTGGGTGTGCCTCCATTGTACATGATGATCCATGTGCAACCTTGTTGAGCCATCAATGTGATCATGTTGATCCATTGACTTGAGATGAGCCACCAAGTATTCATGTTGATGCATCAATGTCTTGCTAAGCCAAAAAGTTTTGGAAGAGTCAACAATGTTTCTGATAAGCCATCAACGTTCATGTTGATCCATCAACGCCTTGATGCTCCACATATGATCTAGATGTGACATCTAATATCATGATGATCCAACTTGTTTTCAGCAGGTGCTCCATGTAAACTGCAAGTGCTCCATGTTCAGCAAGTGCTCTATGTATACAACAAGTGCTCCATGCTTTCAGCATGTGCTCCATGTAAGCTTCAAGTGCTCCATGTCAAAAGAAAGTGCTCCATGTTCAACTTCAAGTGTTCCATGTGTACATCAAGTGCTCCAACATTTGATTCTTCAATCACTTTTTAAACTGTTCAGGATCTTTCCAACCTGAAATGTTCTGATAATGTTTGTTAGAAAATGTAATTCAATACTCAACTTATTTCAAGTGCCAATCACATCAAATATTTCCAACATACAATTCCATCCTCGACAAGCCAGTCCAAATCATTCCCGAGACAGGACAGCTCTGCCTCACGGTCAAGCAGTAATTTTTCCTTATCTAACAGCTCCCTCTTCAGACTTTCCACCTGAATGCTCAAGGCCTCATTCTGTTGGAGGGTGTCAACAATTTTTGCATCCACTTGAGCATAGTGCTCCTCAAGGGTCATTTTATCGCCAGCCAACAGCTCCAATTGGCGACGAGAGGACTCCACTGAGGATTCCAGAGAAGCAATGTGTTGTTGGAAACCCCTCCCATTCGCGCGAAGCTTAACAACCACACTTTTGAGATGAAGAATACGGCGAACCCCCGCAGTAAAGAAAAAGGTGCTTTTGGCATAAGAAAATTCCATAAAATCAATTTTTTGGTCGTCAGTAAAAGTTTCCATCTCGAAAACGGTTCCCTTAGGGAAAGCGTGGCAGCAACTTCTTGTTGGGAGAGATGAGACTCATTAGTAAGATTCCATTTAGGAATGAAGAGATTGTTGGAAGAAATATTTTTGCCTTGGAAGCTGGCAATGAGATTATCATAGTCAGATGTCTCCGAAGCAGTAGGAGACTTACCCTTTTGGACCAGTGGTGGCTCCGTTGGGCCAACCCCGGTAGGTACCTTGTTTAGGACGGGCTGCTTAGATGCCCTTGGTATCCCCTTGGATTGGTGTGTATCGTCATCAAGGATACTTATTACCTCTTCACTAGAAGGTATAAAATTGGCAATAAATTTGGTGGCAAGCTTGCGTCGATGACAGCAGTCGGCAACGGTTTTCCCTTTGGCCACATCAGAAAGAGTCGCAAGGCTCAAAAGTCCCATTTTTCTCGTCATGCGGGACGTTTCACCTGCCAAAATCCCCTCTTTGTTATCTTCCACATGCACCGAAACCTTAGAGGAGGTGGGAGGAGGAAGCACGACTAGGGGCACGCCACACAGGTTGCCAGGCGTCATGCCAGCTGGGGTCGAGTGCGAAGGTACCGAAACAACAGAAGTAGTGAATCCCAAAGCAAATTTCTGGCCGGGAGGGGGGAGGTTTTCATGAAGAGCAATTGGTCGAAACTGCAAATCCCCTTGGAATTTCCGCCCAAGCACATCAGAAAAAGAAAACACTTGTTTCTCCTCTGAAAGATAATCATTCCCTTTTTATCTTTTTTTTTTTTAAAAAAAAAGGGGTGGAAGATAGGAATAGGAACAAAAACAAAACAGGAAAGTCAAAAAATGAGAAAATCCTATCTCCATTGATGATAAAAAAAATCAGGCATCTCTTAACGGCGCCGCCACTCGGTACTTGTCCCCGCACCAGCAAGAATGCATTCAGGGAACTCCTCGAGAACAATGGTAAAACTTTCCAGAAGACGAACAGTTTCTTCATCTCGACCAAGCAGTTTGGGTACGCTATCATAATTCGCTTCAGTCCCAATGTAGGGTCCTTCAAATCGAGAACTGTCCACCCAGAACCAACGATTTTTCCAGTTCTTTGGTCTTCTTTTCCCATTAGGAACGAGGACGTGAGCATTCTTCCGGGTATAAAAAGTAAACTTGTCACCAGCAGTAGAAAAACAAAAAAACTTCTTGAACACCAGGAGACTTGGAAGAAAACCTTAAGATCTATATAGCATCTCGGAAGCAACGACCTTGTTTACATCATTAGGAGTAAGGTCGTAAACATTGAACCGGTTTTTGCAAAGCACCTCATCGATAAAAATCGGTAGTCGGAAGTCGATAGAAGGCATCAAAGGTCCTAACATAGACACTGACCTTTCCCGGAGGAGGTTACAGAAAAGAGGCTTCATCCAAGGGGACAAGTACCCTATCCTCCGACTGAAAGCCGTACTTCTCCCGGAGAGTCTCAGCATACACAGAAGTCGGGATAACACCATGGGAAGAAAACATGCTAACACGGAGAGCCATTTTTTTGAAAAATGAAGAATGGAGTAAAAGGAAAACTGAGATGGAAAGAAGAAGGTGTATAAAGGGGAAGGTGGGTGTTTATGGATAGAGATCATGGCAAATCAAACGCCCAGAAAAAGCGGGCATGTTTGCAGGGGTAATAACTGCTTGACGGATAAGAAAATGACACATGTGTCTATGAGTCTAGCACATGATGACTTGCTACACTGCCTCATCACTACTAGAATAGAGGGCTTGATGACGTATCCCATAGTGGCTCGTCGTGACGTGACTAAACACAATGGTAACTCGTCAAAGCAAAGAGGCCACTAGCTCGAACTGATCAAAGAAGAAACATCTAAATGGTGCTGACCAGCTAGGTCTGGGAGCCAGTAGAAACCAACTTCGAGGCTATAACCTAACCACACAAATGGGACGATCAACTATGCCCAGCAGACAGCGGAATACAGGGAAGGACTTCTTAATCTCCACGCAAGGCTATGGGCTAGCATACAAAAGGAGACGTCAGTATGGTTGTGCACGGGCCACTACAATTAATTTTCTCTGCACCAATCAAGACAGAGTAGGAGTCGAAGGTTGACAAATGGAACAACAGCAGCTCAGCACGCCAAATACCGTTGCAATGGTCCCCTCCGCCTAATGCCCTAACTATATAAGAAACGCTAGGAGCACCTGAAGGAGGTACAATCTCTTTTAACTCTCTCACTGAGATATCTCCAAAGATTTACTCAATTTGCTGACTAAAGCGTCAGAGCATCCTCCAGGGATCCCCACCAGGAGAACGTTTTACGTCTTGCTTAATTGTGGCTACAGGTTCCGTGTAGAGATTCCTTAGTCGCTCAGAGTCTCGATACGGGAACGACGTCGCAACATAGGTGGTAACCGCTCATTTACGTGTTTGGTCAATTGACCCTATTGAGTCTCGATGTTTGATATTGTGTCCTGTTGGTTTCTTATTGTAGCATCAGTTGCATCATTCTTTTCACAGAAACAGTTACAAAGCAGGCATGCATTAACTCGAACTCAGAATTGTTCTCGGTTGGTGGTTGTTCTTTTTGATAAAAGCCACGACCCATTTTCCTAAACTTTTATTCCTTAGCCTTCTTGTATTGATCTTATGGAAATGATTCCTTCTTAAGCTTCCTCCAATCTTCATCAAATTGGTCAACAGTAGAGTAGCATACTTGCACTTTTCGGTTCCCATTCTCATCCAAGTTGCAATCTTTTGTCAAGTGTGGTCCACTACAATTTTCACATCCCACTTGTATGGCATGAATGGATTGACCCATCTTAGTGATTATTATGTCCATATTATCTAGCTTCGCCATTACTGCTGCCAAATTCTCGTTTCCTCTATCTCCACCTATCTTGCTTATTGTAATGTCTTCACGAGGGTTGTGGTATTCGCGTGAATGCTTTGCAAACTCTTCAATTAATGCCTTTATTGTTGTCAGCTCCTTCTTCATCATGGGTCCTTGAGAATCAAGGAGTTGCCTCGTGGTTACATTTATCTCATCATAGAATATCGACAGTTCTTGTTGAACATTGAGGTCATGTTGAGGACAATTTCTAAGCAATACCTTATATCTCTCTCAAGCTTCATATAAGGATTCGCCATCATTTTGTTAAAAATTAGCAATCTTCTTTTTGAGTTTGGCTATCTTCGAGGGAGGGTTGAATTGTTCAATGAATTCTTCACGAAGGTTGGTCCAAGTTCTAATCGTTCCAGGTGCAAGTGACTTCAACCAAATTCTGGCATCTCCTGTAAGTGTCATTGGAATCATCCTCAGTAAAACCACATCTCTTGAAACATTTGGAACATTAAAATAGTTTGCAATGTCCAAAACTTGATCAATGTGTTTAAAGGCATCTTCATAGTCTTTCCCAGAAAATGGAATGTCTTTAAGCATTGAGAGGATATGTCCCATTAGCTCAAAGTTTTATGTAGCGGGAAATGCGGGTGGAACAAAACCGGGACCGTTGTCATTACACATCCTCTTTTTGTACTCCTTCATAATCGATGGCTCGTATCTGGTTCCTTTCTTGTTGAGGGTCTTATCAAAGCTTTCGTACATCCGATTGAAAAGTGCTACTTGATTCATCGACGTTTTTATCTTTCTTCTTATGGAATGCGGATTCTGGATCTTCAAGTAGTGGCACAATAGGAAAATTGGATCGCCTGGTCATATATCACTGAAACAAACAAAGGATAAACGTAAAAACGAACTAAAACAGAATAACAAAAAATTGAAAACGAACAGTGCCCACGCCATGGAAATTAAGTTGCCACGTCGTGGGAGCTGGTTACACAGAAAAAAAAAAAACAATGCAGAAGGGTAACTTTTTGCAGTTTTTACTCCACAAAAGGATCGATTAACTAAGAGTAATTAAATTAAAACCAAAATAAGTTGTTCCCCGGCAACGGCGCCAAAAAATTGATGTGCACAATATTACCTACCAGTTTTAAATTTATAACCTAACTAAACTTTTACAACTAATGCACTTATAGGCAGTGTACCTAGTCAGTTTATAATATAGTAAAGTAAGTTGAGTATTGAACACATGGAAGGATATTTAGCTAATAGAATAACTACTAAAAATTAATCTAAACACAATAACTAAAATGGGAGTTTTTTACTGATTCAAGTTTAAAGAGTACTTCCGTTTAGTTAAGAATTCCCCCTCTCCTATGGTTGATTTCTAGTGGATAAATTATATTGATTACCAATTCACTAAATTACTAGTTATCATGATCTGATACCTAGATTTACCAATTTATGAATTACCATGCAATGATCAAGCACAAGTTAGACACAAAATTGATATAAGCATGAGTTGGACTGTGAATGATAAATCTATGAATTACCTATCCTAGATTAAGACAGGAAACTCAAGCACAAATTATTGATAAAATATGCTCTCTAACACAATCAACATAGCTAACTTTTATTTACCTAACTCTAGGATTTGTTCAATCACCAGATCTAATTATTTAATGGTCATAAACAACTAGCTAAAAAATTCATCCAATAAGAATGATCATCTATTACACAAAACTTGTATAAAAAGCAATATAAGTTAGAACTTCAACATGTTAGGATTATGATCATTTCCCTGAATCCAAAATCAAACACGTAGGATACAGGTTCATCTTCACCGAACAGAAGTATAGGGTGATTAGCCTATAACTAAAACAGAAACAAACATAAAATAAAAGCTAATTAAACCAGACATGGTTAAAACTAGAAAACCGAATGATTAAATGTTGTTCTCCTTCTAATTCTCTTCAATGCTTGAACATCAAAATGAATTATAAACTTTCAAGGGTTCTCCAGGGGTTTTAGTCACAGCTCTTAACTTAATTCCCAAGTTCAATCCTGGAATTCAACCTAAAGTTTGATATATATATATATATATATAGTTGCCAAAAGTTGGTTGCCACGTCGTGGGAATTAAGCCTCCACGTTGTGGCCCTCATATAAAACATGTACGCCCCAGTCTCGGGAAGCTTCTGTATCTAGAAAGATGGCCACGTCGTGGCCTTGCGAATGCCACATCGTGGCATGCAATTTGCACGACTTCTTCTTTCTTCTTCTCCAATGCAGCTTCAGTCCTCCAAACCATCCAACTTTCTACGATTTCAGCTCATTTTTCTCAAAAATATCATTTTTGGCTGCAACATACAATTTAATCATTATAAGTACCAAAATCTTTGCATTTTACAAAAATATAGCTCAAATGTATTAAAATAATGCATGAATATATGTATAAATATGACAATATCACGCTCACATTTACATGGACAACTATTGCCCGCCGCAAAGAGAAAGTATCCCTCTATAACTTTTGGTGTCATGTCTAAATCATACTTTCTTTTCTTCCTATTATAATATTGTACTTTAAAAGGGTTAAAGTAGGATGCTATATAGTAAACAAATCAATGAAATTACATTGCTATTCATTGTCCCAATTATATACATTTTTTAGACCATCTACTTTGCAGCAGTTTAGTATAATTATCTAGAATTTTTTTTGGTGTG